GGCATAGGTTTAAGTTGAGAGGGGAAGATTTAAAAGAGACCTGAGGGGCAATGTTTTCACACAAAGGGTGGTGAGTATATAAGGAGGAAGTGGCAGAGGCAAGTACAGTTGTAACATTTGGACAGGCACATGGATAGGAAAGGTTTACAGGGATATGGGCAAACGCAGGCAAATGGGACTAATTCAGTTTAGGAAACCTGGTCAGCATGGACGAGCTGGGCTAAAGGGCCTGTTTCTGTGCTATATGATTGTATAACTTCTGACATGGGACCCTTATTAAAAGCCTTCTGAAATTCCAAGCACACCACATCTACTGGTTCTCCCTTCTCTATTCTACTACTTAAATCCTCAAAAAAGTCCAGTAGATTTGCTCAATGTGATTGGCCTTTCATAAACCCATGCTGGCTTTGTCCAATCCTGTTAAATTTTCCAAGTACTTTGTTATGGCATCTTTTATGAAAGACTCTAACATTTTTTCCATTACTGAAGTTGGACTAACCGGCCTGCAATTGTCTTGCTTTCTCTCTCTCCTCTTTTAAACAGTGGGGTAACATTTGCCACCCTCCAGTCTGTAGGAACTGCTCTGGAGTCTAGAGATGACGATCAATGTACCCAGTATTTCCAGGGCCACTTCTTTAGTACTCTGGAATGTAGGTTATTAGAACATAGAACATAGAACATTACAGCGCAGTACAGGCCCTTCGGCCCTCGATGTTGCGCCGACCTGTGAAACCAATCTGAAGTCCATCTAACCTAAACTATTCCATTATCATCCATATGTTTATCCAATGACCATTTAAATGCCCTTAAAGTTGGCAAGTCTACTACTCTTGCAGGCAGGGCATTCCACGCCCTCACTACTCTCTGAGTAAAGAACCTACCTCTGACATCTGTCCTATATCTATCACCCCTCAATTTAAAGCTATGTCCCCTCGTGCTAGCCACCACCATCCGAGGAAAAAGGCTCCCACTGTCCACCCTATCTAATCCTCTGATCATCTTGTATGTCTCTATTAAGTCACCTGTTAACCTTCTTCTCTCTAACGAAAACAGCCTCAAGTCCCTCAGCCTTTCCTCATAAGACCTTCCCTCCATACCAGGCAACATCCTGGTAAATCTCCTCTGCACCCTTTCCAATGCTTCCACATCCTTCCTATAATGCGGTGACCAGAACTGTACGCAATACTCCCAAGTGCGGCCGCACCAGAGTTTTGTACAGCTGCAACATGACCTCATGGCTCCGAAACTCAATCCCTCTACTAATAAAACCTAACATACCGTACGCCTTCTTAACAACACTATCAACCTGGGTGGCAACTTTCAGTGATCTATGCACATGGACACCGAGATCTCTTTGCTCATCCACACTACCAAGAACCTTACCATTAGCCCAGTACTCTGTATTCCTGTTGCTCCTTCCAAAGTGAATCACCTCACACTTTTCCGCATTAAACTCCATTTGCCACCTCTCAGCCCAGCTCTGCAGCTTATCTATGTCCCTCTGTAACCTGCAACATCCTTCCGCAGTATCCACAACTCCACCAACTTTGGTGTCATCCGCAAATTTACTAACCCATCCTTCTACGCCCTCATCCAGGTCATTTATAAAAATGACAAACAGCAGTGGCCCCAAAACAGATCCTTGAGGTACACCACTAGTAACTGAACTCCAGGATGAACATTTCCCATCAACCACCACCCTCTGTCTTCTTACAGCTAGCCAATTTCTGATCCAAACCGCTAAATCACCCTCAATCCCATGCCTCCGTATTTTCTGCAATAGCCTACCATGGGGAACCTTATCAAACGTTTACTGAAATCCATATACACCACATCAACCGCTTTACCCTCATCTACCTGTTTGGTCACCTTCTCAAAGAACTCAATAAGGTTTGTGAGGCACGACCTACCCTTCACAAAACCGTGTTGACTATCCCTAATCAAATTATTCCTTTCTAGATGATTATAAATCCTATCTGTTATAATCCTTTCCAACACTTTACCCACAACCGAAGTAAGGCTCACTGGTCTATAATTACCAGGGTTGTCTCTACTCCCCTTCTTGAACAAGGGGACAACATTTGCTAGTCTCCAGTCTTCGGGCACTATTCCTGAAGACAATGATGACATAAAGATCAAAGCCAAAGGCTCTGCAATCTCTTCTCTAGCTTCCCAGAGAATCCTAGGATAAATCCCATCCGGCCCAGGGGACTTATCTATTTCCACACCTTCCAGAATTGCTAACACCTCCTCCTTATGAACCTCAATCCCGTCTAGTCTAATAGCTTGTATCTCAGTATTCTCCTCGACAACATTGTCTTTTTCCTCTGTGAATACTGATGAAAAATATTCATTTAGCGCCTCTCCTATCTCTTCGGACTCCACGCACAACTTCCCATTACTGTCCTTGACTGGCCCTAATCTTACTGTAGTCATTCTTTTATTCCTGACATACCTGTAGAAAGCTTTAGGGTTTTCCTTGATCTTACCTGCTGAAGACTTCTCATGTCCCCTCCTGGCTCTTCTTAGCTCTCTCTTTAGGTCCTTCCTGGCTAACTTGTAACTCTCAAGTGCCCTAACTGAGCCTTCACGCCTCATCTCTACATAAGCCTCCTTCTTCCTCTTGACAAGTGATTCAACTTCTTTAGTAAACCACGGTTCCCTCACTCGACCACTTCCTCCCTGCCTGACAGGTACATACTTCTCAAGGACATGCAGTAGCTGTTCCTTGAACAAGCTCCACATTTCAATTGTGCCCAGCCCCTGCAGTTTCCTTCTCCATCCTATGCATCCTAAATCTTGCCTAATCGCCTCATAATTGCCTTTCCCCCAGCTATAACTCTTGCCCTGCAGTATATACCTATCCCTTTCCATCGCTAAAGTAAACGTAACTGAATTGTGTTCACTATCACCAAAGTGCTCACCTACCTCCAAATCTAACACCTGGCCTGGTTCATTACCCAGTACCAAATCCAATGTGGCCTCGCCTCTTGTTGGCCTATCTACATACTGTGTCAGGAAACCCTCCTGCACACATTGGACAAAAACTGACCCATCTAAAGTACTTGAACTATAGCGTTTCCAGTCAATATTTGGAAAATATTTGGTTATTAGTCCCTGGTGTTTTGTAAGCCTTTCACTCTATTTATTTTCTTAAAACCATTTTGTGATTAATACTGATTTCCTTCAGCTCCTTAAAACCTTATCAATTTTAGATTTAACCTTTTCAATTCAGTGTCCCACTTTCAATAACTTTTTGGGAGAGGGAGTTCCAGAGTTTCACCACCAATTTTTGTGTAAAGAAGCCCTTCCTGGCATTGCCTTTAAACAGCCAAGCTCTGTTTATAAGATTCTGGACTCCCTCCAAAAGACTAAATAATTTCTTCATATTTTATCAACTCCTTTAAATCATCATAAAATGAGAACATTATGGTAGGCATGTGTTGCTTCAATCTTGCCCCACCTTTTTAAGATGAGTTGCTGAGTGAATGGTATTGAATGGAAATGAGAAGGTTCTCCCACAGGAAAGGATAGAAAAAATTGCAGAGGAGAGCTTGCTGACAGTTAAGCATCCTTTGTTTATAGTAACTTGTTTGTACGTTATCTGTTGCTATGGAAGGTGAGAGAAGAATAAGGCTGTGTGTCACATGAGAAATTGACAATCACATTTCAACTGAAATTAATTTTGCCTTGATGTCAAAGATAGTTACATCCGTTTGTTACTGTAGGGAGCCGAGCACATAATCTGGATTGATACTTCAGTACCCTCCTGAGGAACTGCTTTATTTTCTGGCTTTGAGATAAGTCTTAAACCAAGACCTCATTTGCTCTCTGAAGTGTATGTAAAAGATCTTATTGTGTTTTTGCAAGACAAGCAGCTGTATTCTTCCTCATGCTCTTACCAATATTTATCCCCTAACCAATGTCAACAAGACATAGCTTGTTTTATCATGGATCTCATTGTTCTTCATGGGTCCTTGCTGTGCACAATTGAGTAGTTGCATTTCTCTACTTTACAATATTGAATACGCATCACAAACATTTCAGTCACTGAGGTGCACTTTGGGACAATTTGAAGGCTTAAAGAGCACTGTATAAATGCAGACTGTTTCTTTCCTGTAATTCATTGAAGGCTTGGCTTTGCCAAATGATAATCTGCCAGAAATTGGATGACTTCCAATGAAGCTCAGATTGTTCTCCTTAGAGTAGAGAAGGTGAAAAAGAAATTTAATAAAGGTATTCAAAACTGAAGAGTTTGATCCATTTAAAAGCGAAAAACTGTTTTGGGTGACAGGAAGGTCTGGCATCAAAGGACACAGATTTAAGATAATTGGCAGAAGTGACGGTGATGGGGTGGTGATGAGAATTTTTTTTAAACCAAGTCTGTTGCTGTGATCTGGAGTGGCCTGCCTAAAAGTGTGATGGAAGCAAATTCAATAATAATTTTCACAAAGGAATTGAACACACATTTAAAGCGTTTAAAAAAACAGTACCATGCTGTAGGTCAAGAGCATTGGTGACTAACTGAGTAATTTTTTTTCAAAGAGGCAGCATAAGCAATACTCGTTGAATGGCCTTCTGAGCTGTATGTTTTGATGAATTCAAAATGTTGCGCTGAATGTTTATCGCTTAGAGATCTAGATTTGAGTCAAAATATATCCGTGTAAACAAGTAATAATTTATTCATGAAATGATTTCTTTTAAAATTGTTACTTATTCAATAAAATAAGGTTTAACTTAACAATTTTTGTGCATTTACAGTGCTGAATTTTTTATCACTCAACATCCTGAATAGTTAATATTGTTTTCTTGTGCATATGTTCAACAAAATAGTCTTGTTACAACTGTTACAACATGTTGTGACAAGAAAAGAGTTTGGTTTCCTGTATGAAGGTTATTTCTGTCCAGATCAAAACATTATTGGATAATTGGTTTGCTGAACAGAAATTGATTTTAACCCTCTGGGATTTTCTATTGTGACAAATTATTTCCTTTTTCAGTGCCTTTCCCGAGATGCAGCTGGAAATATGAAAATTCAGTATCTTGGCACTGTGGTAAGCTGTTATTTACTCTTAAATGCTCTATATATTTTTGTAATGTAGGAGATGCAGAGTTGCTGGTAAATAATGTTGTTCATATTAGCTCCATTTATAATAAGCTTGTAAAAAATGATCTAGTGGGTTCAGATGTGTTGGCAAATGCACTATATGAATTGTTACAAAGCCACGCAGACCTGAAGGCTCCAGGTTTGTTTCATGGGCTTTGTAGTGTTGTGGTGAATCAGGGAGTGTCAATGGATTTTGGCCACATGGACTTCCAGAAGGCACTTGTTAAGATTCTGTAAAAGAGATTATTAATTTAAAAAATAGACTGTGTAGAATTGGAGATAACCTTGTAACTTGGGTTGATTAGGAGTTTGTGAACAAAGAATAAACCAGGTAATTCTCTAATATGGAGCAAGTGTGTTCCCCAAAGGTGAACTGGGACCTCCAATTTTCAGCATATCTATTAATGATTTGGATGAGTGGATAGAGAGTTGTATGTTGAAGTTTACAGGTGACACTAAGTTGGAAGGCACAGCAAATACCTTGATGCCAAGGGACAAATAATGAAGTTGGAGGTCATTGTGAAGAAATGTGAGGACCTGAGAAAGACACATTGGTACCGTCTCTTAATAACGAGAGTCTAGAAGATGTGGAAGAATAAAGGGATTTGGGTGTTTGTGTACACATATTACTAAAAAATGGTGCACAGGAACAAAAGGTATTGTAAACGAGAATGGAGTTTTGCCCTTCATCTCAAGGGGATGGAATTGAAAAGTGAGGAATTTATGTAATAAATACAGAGAATGCTGGAGAAACTTAGCATGTCTGGCAGCATCTTTGGAGAGAGAAACAGTTAATGTTTCAGGAAATTATGCTTTTCTTGCTTAGATCCTTAGTCAGATCTAGTCTGGCGTAAAGTTTAGTTTTTAGCAGCTTTGCGGGGAGGCAATCACCTAGTGGTATTATCGCTGGACTGCTCACCTAGAGACCCAGGTAACGTTCTGGGGACCTGGGTTCAAATCCCACCATGGCAGATGATAGAATTTGAATTCAATAAAATCTGGAATTAAGAGTCTCATGATGACCATGAATCCACTGTCGTTTGTCAGAAAAACCGATCTGGTTCACTAATGTCCTTTAGGGAAGGAAACTGCAATCCTTACCTGGTCTGGTCTACACGTTACTCTAGACCCACTGCAATGTGGTTGACTGTCAGCTTAATTGCCACTGGGCAGTTGGGGATGGACAATAAATGTTGGCCGAGCCAGTGATGCCCTCATCCTGTGAATGAATAAAAACAAAAGACCTTACCCCATGGAAGCTATGTGGACCTTAGACCGAATATATCACAAATTCACATGAAAGGTTCCAGGATTTAAGTGGTTAGATTATGAGGACAAGTTGTATAAATGGTGTTTGTCAAAAGCTGATCAAACCAATGGATTTAAAATCATAAAGTAATGAGAAGTATAGAAACAGTAACAGAGAGAAAATGTTTGCTCTAGTGGGCGAAAGCAAAACAAAGGTCACCCTGAGCAGCTCTATGATACAGGTCTCTGTGCTGTACGAATGTTAAAATAAACATTTTCTGTAGCTAAAGGACCATTAACCCAGTGAAAAATGCTCTTTGATCTTCCCAAAACTTGCAGATCTTCCAGTGTAAAGAGGTGTCCTTGACTGTGTGTTGTTGACTTGCATATTCCAGATCCTGCTTGATATAGTGAGGAATACATGAAAGCTCAGTGCAGCCACTGGATAGGCACAATGAGAAAAGACCACTATCTAAGGCACTTCAGCCATGATAGACCAAGAGACTGGAAACTCAGGAAAGCCCCTCAAGCTGTATGGTTGACCTGTAAAAGAATGAGGTAAAATATAAACCATATGTAAATTTAGTGAGCAACATACACATTGAAATACATTGATTTCATGGAATTATAGAATCTCTGCAGTGTGGAAGCAGGCCATTTGGCCTATCGAGTCCACACCAACGCTTCGAAGAGCAGACCCACACCCTTGCCCTATCACTGTAACCCTGCATTTCCCATGGCTAACCCACCTAGCCTGCACATCTCTGGACACTATGGGCAATTTAGCATGGCCAATCTACCTAACTTGCACATCTTTGAACTTGATTGCATTTGACTTGCAATTTTAAATATACCATACTTTTACAAATTTTATGAATAAAGTATATTTTGTAAAAAGGTGCTATTAAAATTAGGGCTAGGTGATTTAGGAGTGGATCAAGAAACCTGTGGAAATCTGGGACTCTTTCCCCAAAAGGCTGTGGATGTTAGGGGTCATTTTGGAATTTTCAGGACTGGGATTGCTACGTTTTATAAGGTTAAGGGAACCATAACCACGGTTGATAAATAGAATTGAGTTACAGATCAGCCAAGCCTTAAATGAGCAGCAAAACATTCCACGAGATTAAAGGATCACTGGATCAGGTGGCTGGTTCATGAAGTGGTTACTGATTTGTTACGTTCTTTCACTCAGATCTGTTTCTGGCTGGGTGGGTGTCACCTCTATCAGAAGGTAGATATTCCAGGTAATTCACGGCCAGAGTGATCTCCTGGACCCATTTTGATCATTACTGTGGGCAAGCAAAGAATTTCCCGATTGGTTCATCTCCAATTTTGCCTGCGCTTTTAATCAGCTTCCTCAATTTCCTCAGGAGATTGTCTAGTTTTGGATGGGGTTAGGTATATCTGGTGACACACAAGGTATCATAATTATGTGGGATAGGATGAGTGGGCCAGATTGGACTAGTTTGTCATTGTTCATATTGGGCTTGAGGAACTGAATGGCATCCTCCAGTTCCTAACAGCTGAATCTAACCATTTTTTGTTGTCAAGTTTCATGGACGGTTTCTCTTCACGAGGCCTAGAGAGTTTTCTCACGTGAATGTTCCCATCTCATTAACTACCTAACCCACCCTTTTGGCATCCCCCCCGTCTGATGGTAGCCCAGTTCTACCACTTGCCTGGGCTGGAAGAACTCGTCATTGCTGGGCCATCCGAAATAGCCTATCTTCTCTGCTGGCAGAGCCATAATGGAAGCCCAGATGTGCACTTGCACAAGTTAGGTAGCTTCATAACCCCGAGCTTCCTTATGCTTGCCACTTCAACACACTACCATGTTCCCTGGCAATTATTTCTGTTTCAGGCCTGCTGCAGCAAGGCTCAGTGTAAACTGGAAGAACAGCATCTCATTTTCCGCTTGGGGACCCTGCGGCCTTCAGGACTCAAACTCAAGTTCAATAATTTTAGGGCCTGAATACCCTTAACCACACTCCCCAGCTCCTGTCATCTCATGGACTACTTTCAGCACAGTCAATCCATTTTCACCTGTTCATATTCCCCATTATCAACTTTTCTTCCTCAACAGCTTACTATCAAGTACTTTGTCTTTCTAACTTTGTTTCTTTTTCTCTGGTCTCTGTCTCCAGCTGTCTGCTCACTACCCCCCCACCTTCATCAGCATAAATACCACCTTTTCATGGCAACTATCAGTTCTGAAGAATGGTCACTGACGTGAAAAATTAGCTCTGCTTTATCGCCACAAATGCTGCCAGACCTGTTGAGTTTCTCCAGCAATTTTTGTTTTTGTTCCAGTTCTTCAGAACTTGCAGTTCTCTGCTTTATTTTACACCACTGAGGACTACTCCCTTTTTGATTTTGAGATATGGCCATTACATTAATGCACATACAATGTGTTTGTTGCACAGCCTGTTGGAACGTGGTGCAGGTGTGAGATGGACATAGTGTCATGCCTTACAACATGACAACACCCTTGAATGAGCACTGCTGCCAGGCATGCCAACCTGCCTAGTTTTGTGTCTGTGCTACCCTGCAAGGCCACACCCAGTCAGTGTGTGCCTTTAAAGTCTGGCTGATGGGGTAATGTGCAGAAAGGCAAAGCAGAAATGGTAATCCAGAAATGGACATCCAGGTCGACACAAAGTGAGTGGATGCTAAGAAAGCAAGGAAACAGCCCCTAGGCAGCCCCAGGGATGTGCCATGATGTTGTGTAGAGGCTGGCAAGTATTCAATGCCAAGGTCAATGGACATGGGGTGCATGCAACCACTGCCCTGGAGTGTGCCCACGAGGTTGCTTTCAGAGGTGGCAGTGTAGAGGAGCGAGCTGGAGTCACCAGGTAGCTGCTCCAACTTTCATGACAATTCCTGGCATCTAGGTTTCTATCTGGTACATGGTGGAATTGGAACCTCCATATTATTGAGATGAAATCCTGAGTTAATAAGGATGATGATGGACAATAACCCCTGGTAATAGGCATTTCGCTGCTCCTGAGCAAGAATCTTGTCTTGATGCCTGGGACTCTGATGGAAAATGTGATTTGTTGCTCCCACATTCGAGAAAGCCCTCAAAGGACGTCTTGTGTGACTCTTCCAGATATCTCATATGAACCATGTCGTTCAGGCTTCTATTGGATTCTGCCTTTTTCCCTCAGTCATTCAATCCAGCAAATGATAGAATCGGCAAGAAGGAGGAACTTGCCAGCAGGTTATGCCAGAGGATTAACGGAGTGTCAGTGCCCAATAAAGAGAGACAACCTGGCCTCGTCTGTTAACTTATTGACTGTTGCCTAGAATTCTGTTAATCACAGTCGTGCTGCTGCCTCTTCCCGCCAGAGTGTTGCTGAGACATTTTTTTCTAAGGCTTTATCTCAAAAAGAACATAGAAATTCTCTCCACTTTTGTAGTTTATGCAGGAGTGTCTGAAGCTCGTTGCAGTTTGTTAGTCACCTTTGTTCTTTAGTTCAAATTGCCTGTTTCCTCCTTTAGGCTGGCCGATGTTCATTCTGCTAAACTGTAAAGCACTAATATAATTCAGATGAGACCTTTGAAGCTTCAAAACTGCCAGTGGATTCGGTTTTGTAACAAGTGCCAGTCCTTCAGCTCTCTTGCAGCTCATGTATAAAGTGATGACAATTTTTAAGACTGTGCCTGCTGTTTCTTCCCTTATTAGACAATTCTCCAGTG